AGGGGTTTTAGGTTTTTCAAAAAATTAAATTAGACATGTTCTCAGGAGGTACAATTTTAAGCCGCATCCCTCTCTTCTTATCCAGGGGCTTTGGGACTCTGATTATGACAGGCGACTAACGTTCCTTGTACAATGCGATGATGAAAAAAAACGATCATCCATCTGCGGCAAAGAATAGAAAATGCTTATCAATCCATTTCCCCTGACTCTATCTCTCTGAGCCCCGATGAAGAGTGGTTAAAAAGACAAAATCTTTGCATCTATACGCAAGGCAGGCAGTTCGAACATGAATTGTGGTTAATAATAATAAATAGCAAACCACACGACTGTTTTTTTTTTTCAAACTTTTTGCCATAACATTTTCATTTTTTGATCTATTTAAAATTCAATTGCAGCATTGTTTTCAGCGTAAAAATCTTTTAAAACTATGTGTCAGGATGTGTAGGGACGTATTTGAAATTTTGAAACTGAACTGGGTCTGAGGTACCCTGTATAATTTTTCTCCAAAAAAGGTAATAATTTGAAGCTAGAATACAAAATATTAAACATGACTTTTTTACTGCGCCATTGGTTCAAGAGAAATTCAGCCGGCTCATATAAAAAGGACACCCTGTATGCTACATCCCCTTTTTTTTAAAGAAGTTAAATTTAAAAAAATACACTTATTTCATAGCTTCTGATGTACTTACAGATAGATCGAGAAGATCAATACAGATTGATTTTTTGTCTAAATGTAATCAACCAACTTTTTTTCCAATGAGACCATATTACTTTTTTCCTCATTTTTGATAGTGTTTAATATCCAGAAACATTAAAAAAAATTAAATCGAACAGGCCTTTCAAAAATTTTTCTCAATTCCTTTTTCCTTTTAACTCCAAACTTTCTTTAAAATATTTCTTTCAATTTTATGTAGGAAATCAAAAACATTTTTAAAAAATTAATTACTATATTACCAACAAAAATGAATTAATAAAACATAATAAGAAAATAAATTTAAAAATCGTCTGTAATTTTGTAATAAAAGGTGAAAAAAAAATATCACTCGGCTTAAAACCAACCCTTTAATCAACAGTTAACAAGGTTGTAATAAAATTTTTGTATAATATTTTTTTAATGTGTTAAATGTTTTTCACATAAAATTGAGACATTGAGGCATTTTTAAGAACATTTTTCGACATGTTTAAGAAGTGGAGTTGTAGCAACTCATTTTCACACAAAATTGGGAATAAATTTTGAAATGGATGTCCGATTTTAAAAAATCCTTCTTTAATGTTTTCAGAAGACTAAACACATGAAAAATGTAAAAATAGTAATTTGGTCCCATTTGAATAGAAAATGGTTGATGTATACTGCAATATTTAGAAAAAAATCTGTATTAGCCAAAATAATGTACACCATAAACCATGAAATAAGAGTATTATTTTTTAAATTGCTTTCATAAAAAAATGGGTTGTGCACATAGCATCGGTAACTGGTATATTAGACTTAATCACTTTCACTGTCACTTAGGAGGTCGCGAGGCCAGTGACGCTTCAGCCATCGGGGTGGATTATTTGGAAGGGTGCGAGATGAGTGCGTTTTTGCTACATCAAGGGCATTTTGGATATTAACGTCATTGAGGATGATAACATTGGGTTTATAGAAAGGAACATTAATTTTAAGGATTTTTTATTGTAGGGGTTGGATACGTTGGAGGTTGGAACTTTTTATTGAACCCCAAAGTTCGATGGCGTATGTTCAAATAGGTCCCAAAATAGTTATGTAAATGAGTCCTTTAATTTTTCCAGTCAGGTTTTTCATATGTCCCTCAAATTTTAAGAAGTCTGAAACATCTGATTAGCTATTTTCTTTTGAGTCGCGTGTGAAGGTACCGTGAAAGTCGTTTGTCAATGTTTAGCCCAAGGACAACATTAGCTGGTGGGAAAGGGACACTATTGTAGTAGATTCTCTGAAGGGTGAAAGTGGCATGTTTACTTTTTTGTATATTCATACCATCTTCCACCGCAAGAACCTCTGCTCAAAGGATGTGACAGGGGTTTCTGGTTGAGAAGACAGGATCTATATGAGAGTAAACGATGGTGGTATCTTCGGCATAGGTGGCAAGGATCGTTTAAGGAAGAGTGGAAAGTCTGCGGTGTATACCGTGTAGAGAAATGGTCTAAGATACTTCCTTGTGGTACCGCTTCATCTGTACAATATCCGGCTGATAGAGAGTGGCCACGGACGACTTGAAAGTATAGATAGGCTTTTCGGATCTGGTATTGGGTAAATGGGTGTAATATATTAAGCTTCCAGAGAAACCCCGAGTGTCATACCTGATTGAATACTTGTTTCACATTTAGGAATACTCCTTTTGTTCAAGTTATCACTGCTGAAGAAATGGAATGAACTTCTGAATCCAAACTGGTTGTCGGATGAGGTTACAAAAATAAAAAATGGGGAGAATGTGTTTAAACAGGAGTTTCCTAGGATTTTTCCTATTATAAGCAGTAAACTCATTAGATGGTAGGATGAAGGAAGGTTATGAGGTTTTTACGCACTAGAATAATTCGGATGAGGGAAAATTTCCATTGGGATAACACGTATGTTGTTCTAACGACATCACTGTAAAGGTAGGTTAAGGTTTGCGGGGATCAGGTCGAATAATAAAAGATTTTTAAAAAAGACTGCAACTAGGATGTAAAGAATCAAGCAGTGGTGACCCTTCTAGTAGTGATGTCTCAATGTCCAACAAGTTGGAAGGGCACTACTGCTTTGACCTCCCGGAAAGTTTATTTGGTATGATAAAAAGATATTCCCAGATATTTTACATACGCAACATCTCTTAATTATTCTGCATTTCGTGCAAAAGCTTTTTCTTAATACATTCAAGGAACTGACCGTCATTCTTTCAAGTACGTTAATAAACCTATTGAGGCCCGAATAAATACTAAACTGACCCGCTAAATATTTACAAGTAATTAAAGTAAGGATAAAGTTTAATTAATAAGGGTCACTCGTAGGTTAATTCCTCGTTATAAGGGCGTTAACAATTGAACGGAGTTTGTAAGGCAGATGGCGTTGGGAATCATTAGGATCTTTATCTGGCCCGCTTCTCCTCGAATAAATGATATTTCTTTCCGGGAGTGCTTGTGTAAAATAAAGGTGTACCATCACACAGGAGAAATATAGTGTAGGGTGAAAGGGAACTCGGGTCCTCCGCACATTAATGTTTGAAGTCGAGTAGAAACACACCCGCCTACTCGTTAGACAACCCCTCCTATAAATGTGCAATTATTTCTCTCGCTTTCCACAAGGGAAATTCGCCACAAAAAAAATCGAAGAGCTTTTCCCTTCCATATTTTTTCCAAAGAAGAAACGCGTAAAGGTTCATACTGAACATTTCGAATATAAATATAAATATAATATAATACATAAATTGATTTGGAATGTTGAATTACAAATGGAAAATTAAAATTCCTATTTTTTCTCCTTACCTTTTTTTTTACTACTGTATTCTGGCTATTTCGTTGAAAGTAGTATTATTACAAATTTTGCTTTTTAAAGTAAAGGATAATATAAGAGGCGTAGCGACTTTTTTTGCCTAATTTTCATAAAGCTTAAACTTAAACCTTTTTTGTAAAGATTGAACAAGTCCTATGACAGCGTCAGAAATGCGTGAAATATTTTTTTTGAGGTTCCTAATCATGTTTTCAGGTGTATCTTGTCTTGATGAACTTCCAACTCGACATCCCAATTCTCTTAAGTATATTTTATGTCATATTCTACCTTCTCAAACTAAGTCATAGTCTATAGACTCTCTTTTATAAGTAGAATCGATCTGTATAATATTTTTGTCATAAAATCTGGCCATAAGAAGAAAAATCTAAGGTCGATCAGGAATTCGCAGAAATTGTTTTATGAGAAGGCAAAAACTGTTTTCGGGCCAAAAGTTTTTTTTTTTTATTGTATTATATTTTTGTATTAAACTAACACCTTTCTTGCACAGCATTAAATCGGTTCCATGAGACTCTGAGCTACAGAAATGCTTGAAATAACATTTTGAAAGTTGCGAATCAAGTATTCAGGTGTCTTGATGAACTTACAACTCGACATCCAAAGCCTTTTACGTATATTGTTTGTCAAATAGTACCTTCTCAAACTAAAACATAGTCTATCGACTCTCTCTTACAAGTAAAATCTATCTGTGTAGTATTTTTGGCGTAAAATCTGGCCATAAGAAGAAAAATCTAAGGTCGATCAGGAATTCGCAGAAATTGTTTTATGAGAAGGTAAAACCTGTTTTCGGGCCAAAATTTTTTTTTATTGTATTAAATTTTTGTATTAAACTAACACCTTTCTTGCACAGCATGAAATCGGTTCCATGAGACCTGACCTACAGAAATGCTTGAAATAACATTTTGAATGTTGCGAATCAAGTATTGAGGTGTATCTTATCTTGATGAACTTGCAACTCGACAGCCCAGGTCTTTTATGAATATTACATGTTAAAACCTACCGTCTCAAACTAAAACATAGTCTATCGACTCTCTCTTACAAGTAAAATCTATCTGTGTAGTATTTTTGGCGTAAAATCTGGCCATAAGAAGAAAACTCTAAGGTCGATCAGGAATTCGCAGAAATTGTTTTATGAGAAGGTAAAAACTCTTTTCGGGCCAAAAATTGTTTTTTTTTTTTCATTGTATTATATTTTTGTATTAAACTAACCCCTTTCTTGCACAGCATGAAATCGGTTCCATGAGACTCTGAGCTACAGAAATGCTTGAAATAACATTTTGAAAGTTGCGAATCAAGTATTCAGGTGTATCTTATCTTGATGAACTTGCAACTCGACATCCCAGGTCTTTTATGAATATTACATGTTAAAACCTACCTTCTCAAACTAAGTCATAGTCTACTAATAATTATTGTTCCCATACTCTTAATTTTCCGTTTTGCACATTATATTTACGTATTAACGCAATGCCGTTACTGATATTGGATGTTTATGGATTTGCAGGTCGACCCGAGCCGACGGTACGTTGGTGGATAGACGAGAAGCTGGTCGAGTCCAACGACCTTGGCTCTTCCTTTCCCAACGTGAAGAACAACCAACTGATCGTCCGTCACCTCGAGAGGCATCACCTCCATACTGCGTACACCTGCCAAGCCAGCAACAACAACATCAGCCAGCCTCTTTCAATCAAAATCACTCTGGAAATGCACCGTAAGTAGAAAGGATAACCTCCAATTACAAGGTTTGGAAGGAAACCTGTTTGGGAGGAAAAATGGATTAAAGCTGAAGAAATAAACACGATAGCGAACACATGACCTCATCGATTCTTTTATTTTTATCACCTTGGGCATTTTCTTACGATGGCATATTTACAATTACGGTTGTGGTCACTTTGACCGTTTGCGTTTGATAATGAGCTTTAGCCACTACCAAACTTTTGACGAGTGGACTGCCAATTAAGCCCTTTCATCTTTTTAAAATAGACTGACGTTGCATGTGTTTAAATTGATGATGGCTGACAATTAGTCTAATTTTAATACAAAATGCGTCTATTATAGTCGAATAGACTATAGTCCTAACCCTAGAGTCGAATGCTTTCTGAAAATCTACTAATAAAAGATATAATGAAAACTTGCAGATTTCCTTATCAGTTGCAGGGGAACATGGCGCCTAAAAAATTTGCGATTTTTTTTCTTTGCTAATTTTGTAGGAAATCAATTTCTGAACAAAGTGCTATAATTGTTTTAGTGAAGTTCCATCTCTTTCCTACATAAAAATATGTTTATATGAGAAAAATCGTGGGGTTGAGGGAGTCCTGGTAGATTGGATCCACTCTTTCCCTTTCTTGAACTGGCTTTTGGTTTTTCCCTCTATATTTTCCATTTCGTTTCCCAACTTTTGTTGTTTGTTGTGTGAACACCAAAGAAAAAACCTTTGATAAGAGGAAATTCATGGCAGTCGCAGTCGCTTCGACCTTCATACCCTCCTGCCCGAAGACCCCGGTACGACTGGTTACTCCAACCATACAGCCGTTATTGTGACTCGGGTCTCCACACGGTCAAGTTTCCTGACCGCCGACGTCAAGCTTATAGCTTACCTACGAGAGGTTGATTGGTCCGATGTTGGCTAAGCCTATCATGTCTCTTTTTGAATAAAGACAGACAAAAAGGACAAGTAATCGAACTCCATCCTGCAATATTGCTGCTTCTGTGTCCTGGTTCTTTCTGATGTTCCTCACTAAAATATCCTCTTCGTCACCGTAATACAGCTCAGTGAAATATTCTGTAACTCGTCCTGTCGGCCTGTTTATGGACACCATGTGATTTTTAATACCATGTCTATAAGCAACCCAAACCTTCTAAAACTTGCAGGAAGAGGTTTTATTTTTTCGCAACCATGGTAGATCTTTCGTAATTGTCTTGCATAGATTTGTATATTCTATTGAGTTGATTTTGGATTCATTTTTCTGACATACGACCGATGTTCCTATTTTATTTGGTTCAAAGATGCATTCTGCCTTTCTCGCTTGCCGGTTTTGCCATTAATACAGTTAAGTTCGACCGACACACACTTGCAGATCGATTAATCTCGTCAATTTTTGTAAATAACAGTTTAATTCGACATGAGAGTCGATTGATCTGGGGAGAGAATGCGAAACGGGCGGGACCGGTCACTACCGTCGAGCATTGACGTTCATAAATTTTTGATTTAAAAACTAATCCCGAACCTGTCCGTGCGACGATGGATTTACATCACCAGCCTTTTTTGTCCTGGGATCGATGTCAAAATGATCGGTGAAAGCGATGCGAACCATTATCGATAACCATTTTTCACGATTAACCGCCCCAAATCGTACAAGCTGTGGGCTAAGACGGAAAGGAAGCGGTATCTGAAATTTACGACGCCAGAATAAATTACTCCAAAAGGGAATAAAAAGTATGAAGTTAAAACATAAATCACGCATAATGAGGAAAGAACAAGGTGCTAAAATATAAAACGACTATTAACCGGGTAAGAATTTTCATTTTCGTCGGTCTTAGCAACCTTGCTCTATTCATAAACTGATAAAACATAATTATTAATTTTTTGCAAATGACAGTTCATGAACCATGTATCTATAACTTATATAATCCCTGAAATCGTAATTATAAATTATTGTGGGGAAGCGTCGATGGCCGGAACTGTTTAATCGGGGAACACACCCGATGCAACGCTATGCGACACTACCCAATGCTAGCCAACGCAAATCCAAAGTCCAATTTTCCATAAGATTGAATAACCCCGGTGCACATCTGCCCGATGCCACGCAACGCTACCCAACTCTACGCTACGCGATCCCCACTGTCCAGATTATCGTCGGGTAGCATCGAGTACAGTCGAAGAGAAAAAAAAGGACACTCATATTTTTATTCAAACTACATGTATCGTTGTCGTTATATTAATTACAACATATTTATTTTAATATAAGCCAAATTAACCAAGATCAAAAATTCATTAGTTTTTATTTTAAAAAAATTTTTTTAATGGGTTGGTAGTAAATTGATCAAAACACCGGAATACCATTTTTTGATATAATGAATTTAACTAAAAATTTATAACTCGGTTTTGCTCATAAAATTTAACTAACAATTTATTTCTGGTTTTGCTCATACAATTACACCATTTTCGTCGAGTAGCGTCAGAACAGGACACTCATATTTTTTGTAGTTTTTTTCGAACTATGTATATGTAATTTTGTCATTACGTTAGTTACAAACATTCTTATTTTAATATCAACCAAATTAAACATCAAAAATTCATAAGATTTGTTAAAAATTATTTAATTGTGATGGTTACGAAGAAAATTTATCAAAACACCGGAATAACTTTAGTTAAAACAAATTTAACTAACAATTTATTACATGGTTGTGCTCTTAAAATTTAACATACAATTTATAACATGGTTTTGCTCAAAATAATGCATTAAGAACGTTAAAAGAGGCGTTGCAATTGTGATACTGATTTGTGATATACGCTGTGTGACTGTACGTGGCGTGCGCTTGACGTCGCATAGATGTGCACACCCTACCAAAACATGGCAAGGCGTTGGGTAGCATCGCATAGCATTTCATCGGGTAAGTGTGTTGCCGGCTTTAGGCGATGACACGGCGTTCATCAGTGTAAGGTAAAAGGTCCCGGGTTCGAATGCACGACACACCTACAGTTTTTTTTTTTTTTTTTTTTTTTTTCAAAAACCGGCACCACGAGAGTTTAAATGACCTTGTAGTTGAAATAACCTCGTTAAAAAAAATAAAAAAATAAATTTAAAAAATATTGTAAAAGGAATTCCAGTGCAGATGAAAAGTTGAAATCGAAAAGAGAAGACGGTCGTTTGGAATTCGGGGACCTCTGAAACGCACGATTTTCGAACGTATTTCATGTAATTAGTATATGAATATAATTATCAAACTTTCGACTGTTCCAACAATTTCAGAGCATTAGTGTAAAGTTGCACTCGTGAACGGCATTGTCTGTGATTTGTGATTTATTGTTTAACGAAGCGTCGGCTTCTTTAAACGGAATAGCGTTTTTATACCGCAACAGAATCTAAAAGAAAAAATCTCCCCTGTCACCCGAGGATGCGATCAAAGGCTCTTTTGAGGGTTGAATGCTCGAAAGGGACCCGACGATCGTCTTCAGCCAGTGTAACGCGAGGAGTCATGACCTCATATCGCGTATAACTCGGGGATTTTCAACAGCGCCAGGGTCACCTTTCCCCTTTTCCGCCCATAGATAAGATTTCAAACCGGGAGGATTTGAGATTTAAAAATTGGCTTTTCCACCTGGTTCTACCTGGTTTCTATATGGCGGAAAATAAAGTAAAAATCTCAAGTGGTGCAACCGTACTCTAATTTTGAAAATCGACTGAGAATATTAACTTCTTTTTACCTGCTATTTGTGCAGTTTTTTGTATCATTTCTCCTATTAAATAAAGGATTTATAAGTAGAAAAAAAAAGAATGTACTGACGAGTTTTTGGGACTGATACACAATGTATTTTTGCGTGTGTTGAAGTTAGGTAGGGACGGGTTAGGGCAGTGTTTCCCAACGTGAGGCCCACGCCCCACAGGGGGGCAGTTCGATTGTTAAGGGAGGCAATTCGAATATGGACTCATATAGAGTTTAAGTTAACCGTATGGCAACTCTCAGTAACTACGCGAGCTGGGTAAACCTCCAGTAAAAGTAACTTCCGTCCACCATGTTCGTAGCCGTGATTTCATTGCTAGACGTTACAGTTGACCTACTAGTTACAGTGGGCCTGTAATATGCTTTTTGTCCTATTTGTTCTGAAATGCTTATGGCCGGGATTTCAGTTTCCGCAGTGTTTCCCAGTAAATCTCAACTATCACCGTTGGTCGTAATTTGAAATGGGCGTCCCTTAAATTCGTTTTAAAAATTTTCGCTGTTTTAAAAAATATATAAATATAAGTGATATACAGGGTGAATTGCTACTCGTGCTACAAACTTCTCCAGTAGATTCTTCACCCTAAAATGAACAAAAAAGTTCATATTGTCCATGGTCCGATTCTCANGAATCGGACCATGGACAATATGAACTTTTTTGTTCATTTTAGGGTGAAGAATCTACTGGAGAAGTTTGTAGCACGAGTAGCAATTCACCCTGTATATATACTGACAGACCCACTTGTAATATAACTTGTTTTGTATATATATTTATACATTAATCAAAGTTGAACGTTCTTTAACGTTTAATAAGTGAGTCTTTGTCTAAAAAAGTAAAAAAAAAAAATGTAAATTTCTAAGGAAAATGAAAAATTTAAAAAAGACGGACAGATAAAATTTTTTTTAATTTTGTTTTAGATTTTTAATTAACTTTTCAATATAGCGTATTTCGTCCTCTTGCCTTAATTACATCTGGAAGACGCCTCGGCATACTTTCTAACAGTCTGGAAATGTGTTTTTGCTGGAGGTTAGCCCATCTTTGACGAAGAGAACTTTCAAAAACGTGGGGTGTATCAGGAAGTGATGGACGTGCTCATATTCGTCTTTTGAGGTTATCTCATAAAGAAAATTCTCAAATTTTCAAAGTCAAAAAACGGACATCCTGTGGTTCTTTTACCCAAGGGGGTCCAGAACCGGGTCTTCTTCTAGGACCCAGTTGGTCGAAAAGTCTAACGGCGTCTCGCAGAGTTTCTTATGGATGGCAATAGC